TAAAAATTAACAAAAAGAAATAAAATATTAAATATTATATTTAACAAGATTTAAATCTAATAATTCTATTTAATACATACATACATATATATATAAATAAAAAAATAAAAATAAAATTCGAAATATCAATGACTTATTTTTACATTAAACAAACTAATCAGAATTTCATTAAGAAAAAAAAATACAAATAAAATAAAAAATATACTAATTAATTATTCGAAACAAAAAATAAATAAAATAAAAATAAAAAATCGAAGAATGAAATTTCGTGAGCAGAAGAACATAATTAAAAATCTTTGTCGAGCATAAATCTGACGTCAGGAGTATATTTAAAAACTCACATCAGTTTCATTTATCCGCTATATCTACAAATATTTCTTTCTCTTTTTCTCTCTCTCTCTCTCTCTCACTCTCATACATACTATATATATATATAAGAACAATATCGGATGATAGTAATAGTTTAGTCGATCATGGATAAAACGATTCATTCGTGAGTCATCATTACATTTCCTTCTATATTTTCAATGCGGTATCTATGTATATTGTATTAAACGAATAAGATTACTTAAAAGACGACTCAGCAAACAGACAAGAATATTTAACCTTTATTCTTCAATGCCAAGGCCAATTTATTAGACAATATATATATATATAGACGAGACGACGTAGAAAAAAAAAAGAAAATAATCAAAGAGTAATAGAAGTAATCTTTTCTAACTTCTTCTTTCTCGTTCTTTTTTTTTTTTTTTTTAATCGAATCTATATAATTAATATTATTATTATTATGTATTATCATTATTATATTCCGTAGAACATAATATATGTTATATATATATATAATATATATATAACAGTAATATTTAAATGTACTCAACAATTCTCTCTTTTTCTTTCCCACGCTTTTTTTCTTCATACAAATTAATTCCTATTTTTAATTAAAATATTATAATTTTTGAAGGAATAAAAAAAATAAAAGTAACTTAGAAATGTTAAAAGGTCATGTTAATATTAACGAGAATTAAATTTCAAGATTAATATTAATTAAACATAAATTAATTAATAATTAATTAGGAATTATAGTTAGTATGGCTTATAGTTAAATTATTGCAACAACAACAACAACAAAATAAAAAAACATTATTTTATATTATGTTCGATGTTACTACAAATTAATTTATATAGTAAAATAAATCATAGGACTAATATTTCTTCAATATTATTAACCCTAGTAGCACAAAATATTGAAAAATATTGAATACATATGTATTTAATATTAAAAAAACATTAAATCTCTTTTTAATATTAAATACATATGTATTCAATATTTTTCAATATTTTGTGCTACTAGGGTGTATTAAGTCACTGTCATAATTATTACTAAATATAAAATATTACCCAAAAAAAAAAAAATAAAACAAATTATATTATAATTCATTCAACGTTAGAAAATATTGATTTCTATTATAAAACAAACGAGAATAAAATTCAATTATTCTAATGTATTTCATTTTACAATAAGCTTCCCCACTATTATGATATTTGGGTCATGAATACAAAAAAGCAAAATGATAAATAATAGATAAAGAAAAATTCGATTAAATCGGGGAGATTTTTTGTAAGATACTAAGCTAACTAACATATGATCTGTTTCGATCGTTTGGTGGTGAACAACGCGACAAATGGATATGAAAGTTGTAGGAAAATCACGGTTAGATACGAGCTTTTCTCTCTCTCTCTCTCTCTCTTTCTTTGTTTATGTGTATATGTATATGTGTGTGTATGTGTGTGTATTTCTTCAATGTTTCTCTTTCTTTAGACGATGAATGTCGATCGATACATACGACTATAAACCAGCAACACGCGATCTCCTTTAAGGGTCGCTAGAGATGTCGACATACGATACGAAAGGGGCGAGTCACGAAAGTCTCTTCTCCCTTTCCCTTATTTTCTTCAAGCCCTTCTTCTTCTTCTTCTTCTTCTTCTTCTTCTTCTTCTTCTTCTTCTTCTTTTTCTTCTTCTTCTTCTTACATGCCCTCTCTCTCTCTCTCTCTCTCTCTCTCTCTCTTTCTCTCTTTCTCTCTTTCTCTGTTGCTTCCTTACGATAACGTCACGTCAAAATGTATTTTGCCTAAACCACCACCAAGCTTTTCCCTCTTACCACCCCATAAGAAATTTTCCTAATTCTTTTTTTCTTTCTTTCTTTCTTTCTTATTTTCTTTTTCTTTCTTTCTTTCTTCTACTTCTTTTTATTCCTGTGTGTTTTATTCTTTCTGTAATATTCAAAAGTTAAATCAAGTTCAAGTTCGATCAAATCTAAAAGGATTTTTTTTATTACGTGTATGTTTTATTCGTTTTTTTCTTTTTTAATATTCAAAAGTTAAATCAAGTTCAAGTTCAATCAAATCTAAAAGGGTTCATTTTTTTTCATTTTTTCTTTTTTCTTTTTCTTTTTTATCAACTCCGATATTCTTTAACCCATTCGAGACCACGATTTTTTTCGAACACGGTTCTTAAGAGCCATTTCTTTTTTTTTTTTTGTTATATTGCCGATTTTACAATGCCAGATTTTGTTTTTCTATACTTTAACCCTTTGAGTGCTATGGACGCATATATGCGTTTAGTAAAAATTACTAACCTAATTTTTCGAAGCATATACGTGTTTGTTAATATTATAGTAAAATAATTTAATATTTATATTAATCAATTTAATTATATTCAAAAACAAAACATCAATTATTAAATATAACTTATTATTAGAATCTGATTAATAATAAATTATTCTGGTCCTACAGAAACATTTTAGGTAAAAGTATTCAACACTCAAAGGGTTACCCCATATGAGACCATAACTTTTTTCGAACACGGTTCTTAAGAATTATTATAATTATTTCTTTTTTTTTTATATTGCCAATTTTACAATGTTAAATTTTGTTTTTCTATACTTTAAAGATATTATTTATACAAAAAAAAAGTCTCATTTCGACTAATACTTTACTCAAAATAACTAATAATAGAAAAGTATTTTGGCACACACGTTGTGCAAGTGATTTCGAATGGGTTAATTAATATAAAACGTTCATATTTGTTCAGTAATAGTCATCATTTATACACGTTTTTTTATTTATATTAGAGAGTTGTCGTATTATTTATTTTTTTTTCTAATTTTTTTTATTTTTTTTTATTTTATTTGATCAATGAAACCCACCGAAATAAAATGAATTTGACTAATAGTCTTACTTAGAATTTCTAATCTTTCAGTTTAATATTTTTCTTTTAATATTTTTATTGTTTTATTTTTTTTTTATTTTTTATAATTAAATAGTACAGAGATTTGTGACACTTTTAAAAAATTCAATTTATTATTTTTTTATCGATTATATTCTATGCGGTCAACGAAACAATATTTTATGTCAACTATGAGAAATTGTTTTATTCTTCTTTTTTTTTTTTTTAGAGGTTGAAAATGTTCTCATCAATGTTTACATAAAATATTGTTCTTTAAAGAGAAATATTGAAAATTTTTATATATTTTTTAAATATAATCAAAATGTGTACTGCATTATGCACTTATGAACATTCTTCGATAATAACGACAACCCTTATTTCTATATATATATTAATTATCAATTATTTGTATAATATAAATATGAATTATTTATTTTTCTTTTTTTTTTTTGTAATTTATTTTATTAATCTATATATAACGATTTTGGCAAAAACGCTTTTGTTTTGAAACACTTTATGTGGACCATTTTGTATAAGTATTATCAATATCCATAATACTACAAAATTTCTTTTACAACTATATAATGACTATAATTATAATTAATATTAATAATTAATAATACAATTATTATCAATAATACTATTATTATTATTATTATTATTATTACCATTATTTTCTTATAATATTTACAATTCTCAAAAGTTAAATATACATTAACACGTAAGAGTGGAGAGGGGGTGGAAAAGGTGTAGGTAAAAAATTCGGTTAGATCATTTTATTATTCGAATATAATCGAACCCCACGAATCACATTCAATCAGTCGACTCAAAAATAAACAAATCGGTCGAGATTAGGATCGTTCTATTAAACTTAACGACGATTACTATGCAACCAGACAAAAAAATAAAAAGAAAGAAATTATGATCGATTGGTTTCGAACAGAAGAACAGAAGGTGTTAGCAGGAATGATGATAGTACAGGAGGGTGGTTGTAATGGGGGTATTTAAAAAGAAATTCGTGACGCAAACTTCCGGATAGTGTCAAGGTTAGGTCAAAAGAAATTCAGGACGTTGCACGAGGAGGACTCATTAGATTGTACGATATTCAAACAGGGTCCATGCGCAGAATGAAAATGGAACAACGTGTGTTCTTATCATCAACAAGCACGCGCCATTGCGACGCCAATTATCATTAGAAAGAAAGAGAGAGAGAGAGTTCATTTTCCTTTAACCAATAAAATTGCGTTATTAACCAACATATTATACACTTATACAATCCGATACTTAATTTAAATACCGTTGATGTACATTATACTCCTTATGTGAATATTAAAAAATTAATATTTATTGAGCACACGAAAATTCTAGATTTTAATTAAAAATATTAAAAACGTTATTTTCTAGAACTTATTCGTCGTATAAAATAAAAAATAAATATTTACTATATGAAAAAAAAAACAAATTCCAAATTTTAATAAAAAATATTTAAAATGTTATTTGCTAATACGTATATTCGTCGTGTAAAATAAAAATTAATATTTACTATATAAAAAAATTAATTCCAAATTTTAATAAGAAATATTAAAAATGTTATTTGCTAATACATATTCGTCGTATAAAATTAAAAATTAATATTTACTATATCAAAGAAAATACTCTAAATTTTAATAAAAAAATATTAAACATATTGTTTACTGATACGTATTCGTAGTTTGAAATAAAACAATTAATATTTACTATATAAAAAAAACAAAAAGAAATTCCAAATTTTAATAAATATTAAAATTGTCATTAATTGAATAAAAAGTTAATCAAACTACTACGTATTTTATGTTGAAAGAACAGAACAAAAAATAATTTAATTATTCTATTTGATATTAGGTGCAACAATTAATTCTGTGTCTTGATATTAATCTAATCCCGTGAAAAATTTTTCAAACTAAATTCCACAGTTAAATAATTCCGACATATTTACTTTCTTATAAATATATATGGCCAATAAATTTCCACGATAAAACGAAATACATTGTTTGTTTAAAAGGTTTTTCTGGGGGAAAAAAAAACTTAGCCTGCCACTGTTACTTTCATTTTCATCGTCATTCACATTTTCATATTCACATATCATTTTGTATTATTTTGTATTATTTTTCTTTTTTTTTCATTTTTTTTTCCTTACTTTTTTTTATATCTTAATAATCCTCCTTAGCGTGTCCCAGTGTAATATCCACGAAGATTAGTAATTTTTTCTTTTTAATTCCAAATGATTACGAAAATAAACGTAAGAACAAACTGAAATTAGAAAGAAGTTTCTTTTTTAATAATTGTTACGTGATTCGAAGTAATATCAAACAACAAAGTTTGTAGATCATTTTTCCGTACAATCGTGACACACTTTTAGAGTAAATAATATCTAAAAAAAATAATAATAACATTAGCTTGAAAATGATTAACTAATTTTACGAAAGGACTGTTTTATCGTGGTTTGTGTGTTTGTGTGTGTTTAATCTTTATAAAACATGTTTCATCTTTTTAATAATTCTCATTCACATGTTTCAAGGTAATTTTAAAAAAGTTCATACAACATTTTTCCAGGATGATCGCGAATTATCTGAACAATAATAATAATACTAATAACATTCAATTTGAAAGAGTCAATTTATCATTCTTATTTAATCTTTTTATGTATTATATTTTGCTCATTTTTAATAATCTTCGTCCCGTGAGTAAAAGTCATTTCCAAGGATTTCATATATGACGATCAACCAAATATTTAATAATTGTTAGAATTTATTATACGACAATGATCTAATAATTTGAAAAAAAAAAACAGAATACCAAAAAAAGTGAACAGTTTCTGATTCGATAAAAATAATATACATCTACCAAATTATTTATATTTTTCTACGAACGATCGTATCTAATTACAAAAAAAAACTCATCTACCTATAATAAAAAGAAAAAATAAATAAAATACTATAAAATGTAATAAGATAAAATAAAATAAAATGGATATTAAAATAAAAATTAATAATTATTAAAAACATTAATTTTACTTATTATTTAAATTATTAATTAAAATAATAATAATCATAATAATAAATGTTGGTCAACTTTGATATGATTTTATGGATAAGTGTAATTTATCATTTTCGTGTACATTCAACTGTAGGAGAAAATAAATTAACGTAGATAAGAGAAGGACGAAATAAATCACGATGTTATTTTTTTCCTGTCTCTGTTTCTTTCTCTCTCTCTCTCTCTCTCTCTCTCTCTCTCTCTCTCTCTCTCTCTCTCTCTCTATNTCTCTCTCTCTCTCTCTCTCTCTCTCTCTCTCTCTCTCTCTATTTCTTTTTGTCTCGTTGTAATAATTATGAAATTTATGCAGCCAAACCACGTCCAACCGAAGGATGGCCAGTAATGGTTTGGTTTCACAGTGGTGACTTTAATACAGGAACTCCAAAAATTTGGGACGCTTCAATTTTCGTCACGAAACAAAAGGTCAGAATAATTCTTATTACAATATTTTATTATTCATTTTTGAATTATTTTATTTACCGATAAATTTTAATCTTTTTTTCTTTCAAGTACGAAGTTCCTTTAAAAATAAAAACAAAAAATAAACATAGTTTCAAATAAAACAGTAGGTAGATTTTAAACCTCTGTCATAAGTTAACACGAAATTCTACTACTCGACTTATCAACACGATCGATCGTCAAAACTCTTCGTGCAAATGAAGATAATCAAATGATTAAAACTTGATTCTTCCACACGTAGAATGAATAATCTATTTTTTTATTTATGTAACATAATTATATAATACAATAATTAACAAATAAAATATACATATATATGACAGACTTTTGATTTGATAAAAATAATTAAATTGAAGGCAATTATTCATTCTGTTAATTTTTTTTATTTTCAACAATCGATCGTATTTTATTAAAAAAAAAAACAATAATAAAATGTTCGATGCAGTCCAGATATTATTAGACTATTCGATATCTATAAAAAAAAAAAGAAATGAAATAGTAAAATAAAACATACCTAATTTACGGTACCCGCAGGTAGTGGTGGTAACAGTGGCGTATCGTTTGAACATTCTCGGATTCTTCACAACGACGGACGGGGAAGCACCAGGCAATTATGGTATGTTCGATCAAATAGCGGCATTGGATTGGATAAAGGGAAATATCGAACGATTCGAAGGTTCGCCAACGGACGTGACAATATACGGTCACAGTTCAGGTGCCATATGCGTAGGCTTACACATGATGAGTCCACTTAGTAGAGGAAAATTTTCTAAAGCTATAGCAATGAGTGGGGATGCCATTGGATCGGTAGGTTCAGCACAAACTGAGCTACCTATAGTCGACATAATAGCTGAGAAATTTGGTTGTTATCGTCATCCGACAACTAAATTAATGGAATGTTTACGTCGAGTAGACGTGTCAATTTTGGTGGAACAAGCGTCGGATATCGAAACATGGGGTCCGATCGTTGACGCTGAAATCAATAACAGTAGCGAACCATTTTTACCTGAACACCCAAAATATATACTAACTGGTGGTAACTTCAATGCGGTACCATTGATCGTTGGTTACACGAAGAACGAACAAGCATTGGCTTATATTGAATCGATTACGACAGGTGAGTCGAGTGATGACGGTTTATTGTCAGAAAAAAAATTCGAGACTATGATTATCGAGGAATCAACAGCGGCCATTGCTAGTCCAGAAGAGAACAGTACGTGCGAAATGAAACCGGAAATGTTATCAGATGCAATTTTATTCTATTATAAACCTCATCCACCTAACGACGATCAAGCTTTATTAAGGGACAAGTATCTCGAGTTACAAAGAGACAAAAATTTTGCCTCGGGTTTGACCCTATTAGCCGGGGAATTATCCAAACAGGAAAGGTCTTACGTTTACAGATTCGATTATCGTCCTAAAACTGATTTTATGGTACGCGACGTACCCGAATGGGCTGGCGTACCTCACATGTTCGAGCTACCCTTCGTTTGGGGTATACCCTTAACAACTACGGTCCAATGGAACCCAGCTGATAAAAAAATGTCCGAGGTGATGATGATGATGTTAGCTAATTTCGCTAAAACATCTAATCCGTCGTTGCACAATGTCAAATGGAATCCATACACGATCAACGATCCTGGGATATTAATTATTGATAGAAATATCGACATGAACGAGCCAAATGTTATCGATTATAAAGCATTCGCATTTTGGAACGAATACTATCCGAAAGTTGTCGAAGAAGCTAGCAATAATTGTTGCAACGTCACGAGCTCCGCTACGAGATGGAAATATCATGCCGAGTTTTTCTCCATACAATTATTAATCCTAATTGTAGTAATAACTTTGTATACGTAATTGCTCTTTTGTTCCTTGTTAAACGAAGAATACACATCTGTTAGATTTCTTCAAAATTTTTATCGAAACGGTATGAGAACCTTCGAAATTTCTATTCTCCCGTTATTGTGTAAGACTTACCTGAAAAAAAAAGAAAGAAATTTAATAATAGCGACATCGTTTTTCGATACACTGTGATATTTTTGGCACGCTGCATAGAAATATCGTTTGTTGTTCTCTATTATGAACGGATTAACAGTTTTATGATTTTTCTTAATAATTCAATAGGATAATCGATATCGTTTGCTTAAAACAATTTGATTTTTAATTACGTCCATATTACGTACTAATAGTTATGTAGTAATTGTATCTTAAAAATTAAACCATTTACGCGCGCACATATATATATAATAAATGTATGCGTGTATGTACGTATGAATGAATGCTAGCTAAAGAGGAAGAAAGAAAATGTCCGACTGTCCATTCAAATTGCTTACCTAAACAACAGAAGAAGTGCCTTCCGAATTAGCGGAATTGTACCAAACGTTGTAAAGCGGTTTTACCGAGAAACAAAATTTATTTTAAGAAATGTTAATAATAATTATATTAAGTGCACGTTGACAAACGTCATTAGAATAAGAGAGAAAAGAAAAAAGAATAAAGGTATATATATCTATAAAAAAATAAAAAATAAAAGAAAAAAAATTAATACGCGAGTAGTTATACACTGTATAACAAAAATTGAATGCATATAAAAAAATATATATACCCCTATAATTTTCCTTTAGTTCATTTCTAGTTAAATCAAATAGAATTCTTTCCAGTGTAACTGTTGTAAGCATCTCCTGAAGAAGATACATAAAAAAATATTTCTAAAAAGAAATTATGAAGAAGAAGAAGAAAATACCAAAATAAAAGAAAAGAAGAAAACAAAAAAATATAGAAAAAGATCCTCTTGTATCATCGTATTATTAATTTCATAAGAAAAAAAAACAATGATATTAGCTTGACAATTTTAAATAGGGAAGAGATAACATATTATACGGAGATTTAAAACTAATAATAATAATAATAATAATAATAATAATAATAATAATAATAATAATAATAATAATAATAATAATAATAATAATAATAATAATAATAAATCAATCCGTGAACGAAAGAAAGAAATAAAAAAAAGACAAAAAAAGTTTAAATAAAAAATAACAATTAACATTCTGAACATATAATATGTTATCAATAATAATAGTAATAATTATAATAATTATAATAATAATAAAAATAATAATATTAATATTACTATTAATAGTAATAATAATAATAATAATAATAATAATAATAATAATAATAATAATAATAATAATAATAATAATAATAATAATAATAATATTATTGANAATAGTAATAATAATAATAATAATAATAATAATAATAATAATAATAATAATAATAATAATAATAATAATAATAATAATAATAATATTATTGATGTTAACACAAATAGTAGTCGGATTCGCGCAGCAGAGAAGAGTATAGAGAGAGACGATTGATTATAATCGGATGACGATGATCATATACAAACAAGCCGAGAGCTCTTTGTAACACTCACTGAGGTTTCTTTTTATTTATCTTGCATTTTAATACGGAGAGATATAGAAAAAACATATATTGTTTTGAAAAACAAACGACGGATAACTTATGAATAATCTGATGCTTTTTTTTCGCAATAATAGTAATAATTAATAATTAATATAATTAATAATTAATAATTAATAATAATAATAATAATAATAATAATAATAAGATCATCATCGTAGTGTACGTGTATGTGTGTATGTTTATGTAGGTGTATGTGTTGTGTATATCGGCTATGTATAATTATATTATATAAGAGAGAGGTGCGCGGCGAGCGTTGCAATGCATTGGGGGGAAGGGGGCTGTGGCCTGCGCACGCGCACATCTAAACATTTTTTTTTCTTTCTTTCCTTTTCTTTCTTTGTTTATTTATCCGTTTTTCTTTTCTTCCCTTTTTCTTTTTCTTGGTCTTATCCTTCCCTCAATGTTTTTTTTCCGCTTTCTTTATTCTTTTTCAACCCTTTCTTCCTTTTTATTATTTTCTGTGTTTTCACCTAAATATATAATATTAATTAATTGTATTTTTTTTTGTTTTTTATTTTTTTTCATCGTTATTTATTTATTCATTCTCATTTATTTATTTATTTATTTATTTATTTATTTAATCATTTATTCATTCATTTATTTATTTATTTATTATTTATTTATTTTCTTTAATGCAAAACTCCTACAATGATAACCAAATACCACGGGGGTCTCTCGTACTATTTTGTGCGCTATTGTTGCGCGTGCACACGAGCCAACCCGGGATTAACATATATACAATATTTCCCGTTGGTTTGTCTCTCTCTCTCTCACACACACACTCACGCTTCACTCTTTCTCTTTCTTTCTTTCTTTCTTTCTTTCTCTTTCTGTCTCTCTCTCTCTCTCTCTCTCTCTCTTTTATTTCATTCTCTCTTTCACCCTCTTTCTCTCTCTTTTTCACCCTCTTTATCTTTCTTTCTTTCATTCTTCTTTCATTCTTCTCTCATTCTCACCTCTTATTCACTCCCTCTCTTTCTCTTTCTCTTTCTCTCTTTTATCATATACACATCACGCATACTCATTCTTTCTCTTTCTCGACACACATATACAAAGATACATGCACACATTTACGCTTGACTCTCTCCAACTCTTGCATTCCTCTTCCTTTTACGTTGCGTCTTTGTCTTTTCTCGTTTTACAACCATCCAAATCATCATATCATCATCATATCATCATCATGTTATCATCATTATCATTATCATCATCATCATCATCATTATCATTATCATTATCATCTTCATCATCATCATATTATCTCCTTCTTGTTTTGTTTAGTTCCTCTGCTATTATTTTATCATCTTATCAGCCCCCATCTTTTCTTTTCTCTTCTTCTTTTCTTTCTTCTTTTTCTTCGTCTTCTTCTTGTCACTAGTAGTATTTTTATAACCGCCAGTTCCTCTTTCATCTTCCACTGGTGTATTATTTCAATGCAGAAGAAAATATGGACACTGCCATAGAAAAATCTTACAGAAGTAGGCACAGCGATTTCTTCTTTTGCTTCATCTTCTTCTCCGGTGACTTTTTATTGATTTGTCGAACTAAATCGTAGAAGATCTGTAATAATAATAATAACAATTATAAAAATTAATGTTATAACATCTAAATATTCCTCCTGCACAAGTACATGATATGTAGTAGTAGGATTGCGTCTACAATGTAAAATAGAAATTTTATTGTGAAAAAGAAACTCCCTCCAAAAATCGATAGTTTCATTGTAGAACACTACCCTCGTACATAAAATAATTTAATGATATGCGGAGGTAGATTCAACTTTTCATTTTTTGTTTCCTTCCCTCGCAAAAACTAACAGCTTTCTGATGCGCATAATTTGTCAGAGAGGAAAAATTATATTCAAGTTTTTAAGTTCTTCTCTTATTTCTTTTCTCATAAACCACTAAACATTTTCTGATGTAAGAAATTTTTCATAAAATCCATTAGGGGAAAAATCTGAAAACTTGAATACAATTCATAATAATTTGAAATTTTGTTTCTCTTCTGTTTATTCTTTTTTGTTCTCTGCAAGATACGCACAACAGATAGATAAATAAATAAAATTGATTAAAAAATAAAAGGATAAAACGTACATCGTTCACATTAATCTTGGCTTTGGCAGAGGTCTCCATGAACGCACAATTAAATTGCCGGGCAAGGTTGACGCCCTGGTCTTTGCCAACTACTCTTTCGTCCTCCAAATCACATTTATTACCCACAAGTACCATTGGCACATCATCTGTGTCTTTTACTCGTAGGATCTGTTCCCTCAGGTCTTGCAGATCGTTAAACGTCGACTGTGCCGTTATCGAGTATACTAAAACGAAACCTTGTCCGTTTTTCATGTACAAATCCCTCATGGCTGTAAATTGTTCCTAAAAGAGACAAATCAAATAAGCAAATACACAAATTATATTGTATTGAAATCCCTATTACATTTACATGTATGTTAGCGTATAAGGAGAGAGAGAGTGTAAATGTTTTAAAGATAAAAGAAGGTAAAAGAAGAAAACCGGTTGTTTTAAAGTGAATAATAGAAGAAGAAAAATATGCAAAAAAAAAGAGAAAATATCTAAATGTGTGTATGACAAAAGAGCACTGTATGACTTACCGTTCCAGCTGTGTCTAGAATTTCTAACATACATTGTTGACCGTCTACTTCGACTTGCTTACGGTAGCTATCCTCGATCGTAGGATCGTACTTCTCAACAAAAATTCCTTGGACAAATTGGACAGTGAGGGCAGATTTGCCTACACCTCCACTGCCCAATACTACTATTTTATATTCACGCATTTCTTTGCTCTAACTATTAATCTGTGCACGTTGTCACAGCCAAGTGATTGCCGAATCCGCCACGTTTTCTTTCTTTCTATATATAATGTAATATGGCGAAGAGGACCTAGAAAACAAAATAATTCAATATTTAGAAAAATTATTTATTATGTTCTTCTCCTTAAATTCATGATCATATGTCTGCCTTTCGTTAACACTAGATATACCAGACCAGTCATTTTAACTGGTTGGGCCATTTTCATTCAAAATTTCTACTTCATGTACCATTTGATTTCTGTAAATAATTAAGCGTTTTGTTATTTAAAAATGTCTATAAATCCATTTATCTATTAAAATTATTATTGTTAAACATTTTTTTTTTTTTTTAAGAGTAAATAAAGACTGGAAGCTTCAAAAAGCATTTTTTTTTGTATACAGCAGTCATTTTGACTAATGTGGTAGAAGTAGGTATACTAAAAATGGTGATATATCTAGTGTTAATAATATTTTAGTAACAAATATAGGAATTTTTTACAATAGCAAAAAAAAAAGAAAAAGAAAAATGATCATTGTACTATTTTCTTTTTATAATAAACTATTTCTATTGTTAGACTATTGCGCATAATTTGATCGATACATGTTCTCACTAACAAACTTGTTAGTGTCGGCGTGTATGTGCGTCTCTAAATACAGTTTGAGCCAAAAGTTCCAAAGTGATTTTAAAAATCAATTACCACTTTTAGGTCAACTTTTCTTATCTACGATTTGAAAACAAAAAAGGAAAAAGAACTTAATTTGAAAAGTTTCGAAAAAGTATAATTAATTAAAAAATTTACTCGCTAAACTTTTGACTCGAATATTAACTCCTGTTAACTGGCATTAATTATTTGAAAAAAAAAAAAAAAAANATATGATTAAAGTATTTCAGATATATATCAAAGAGAAAAAGAGAAAAAGAGAAAAAGAGGAAAAGAGAAAAAGAGATAAAGAGATAAAGAGAGAAATAAATACATATATTTGTATATAAAAATTCGATAAAAGTGAAAGACGTTCCAGATTTGCGGATTTTCAGCGACGATTAAAAATGGGCGCGCATGCATGGGCGCCATCCTTTAAGAATGATAAAGAGTGGTATACACAGAAGCCTCTCGTTAAAAGCAGCCTGACTGTTCTATTGTGTAAAACTGTGTCACAGGGATGCGTCATTCTCGAACGAAAGAGTAAAAAGAGCAGAGTTCCCATTTTTCTCTCTTTTTTTCTTCTTTTTATTTTTCTTCTTTTTATTTTTCTTATTTTTATTATTTTTCTTTTTCTTCTTTTTTTTCGAAATCCCACCAATAATATACGCACAAATTCTGTTATTCCTAATTTTTCTAATCAATGAATAAAGATATTTATTTATACTATTTAAATTTATTTATTTATTCTTATTATTTGTATCAATTTGTATGACTTATTCAAATAACTCAGAGTAGATCGACGCCATCTTTGAAAATACCACAATATATTTCCAAATCAAATTATTGATTTAATATTTATTACCAAAAGATTTTTTTGATCGATAATTATAATTCCTTCGTTATACTTTTAATTGTATTTATTTTTTTCGAGGAAATAACGAAATATCTTGTAGAATATTATTTTTGAACAATTCTCTTTCTCATGATGTAACTTTTTTTATCTTAACTTTAGACATTAATAAAAAAAAAAAAAAAACAAAAAGAAACTGATGTAATGTACTAGTATTAAAGAAGTATTTCATACATAGTAATACATGTATCTAATGTAATATAGTTATAAGATATACTTGCATATTCCTTCGAAAATATGTAGTAATTGTAATATATGTGTTATTATGCAGGAAGGATAACGACGGCGGGTTTTTTGAAATAAAAGAAAAGCGATCAGAGCTAGCGTGGAATCTGTGTCGCGTAGACGATCGTATCCTGGCTAGATAAGAGGTGGGCAGGATATGATGTAACGCCTGATAATACAAAGCAACGGCACGATTTACATCATATGAATCGCGTGTATAAGCTCTCTTTCAATTATCGTTAATGTCGAATAGTAGTAGAAAAATTTCCGTAGAAACTTTACTTTTTCTTTTTTTTGTATTTTTTTTTTTTTTTTTTGTTTTTTTATACAATTTCGTTTAAAAAGCAAATTATTTTTTAAATTAGAACCTTTTTTTCTTCTTTCTTTAGCATATCAATAATTCTTTATAATTTTGTTTAAATTTATTAATATATACAAGTATTATGATATTAAAAATGCTTCACAAATATTTTATTTTGTTAATATTTAGTTTGATAAGCCTGATATGTACGTATTATGAATTATGTATACGTATGCGTCATTAATACAATATGATATATATAATAAATAATTTAGTAATAATTAATGTTGTTTTTCTGTTAAATTATATTATATACATTATTATGAAACAATTAATTAAAAAGAAAAAAGAACGACAATAATTATTACTAAACTTAAACAACAGAATATTCATGAAGTGTGCAGAAAATAAGCACCGAGGAGATTATTTTTCTTGAGATCGACGTTCTCAGGTTTTCAAGGTTACTGGTATATTTCTAAACAGAAGTCTATGTATATATTTCTTTTGATACTTCGCTTAATCCTTTCACTTCGAAGAATTCAGTCGCGAGAGACACGAGAGTCGGATTTATCCGACGGTAGTTGATATACTTTATCACTCTTACATTCTTATTTTATATTTAATATTATTCTAACTATTGTTTTAAAGGGACAACACATTAAATTATTTTATTTCATGCATATCTATATTACTTTGTTTTTCTATCTAATCATCCAAGTAAACATTTCTAACGTGGGTAAATGAAATATATAATAACAACAACAAATTAAAAATTAAATTATACAGAGAGCATATATAAATATTGTAAAGCGTAAATTTTATTGATATTATATTTACATATTATTTTATAACGCTATACTAAATACAATTTTGTAGAATCTAAAGAATTAATGTTTAAGTTCTAGAAACGCGCGTGCCACTATTACTAAATATTTCATCGTCTAAAACCGCAAGGATTAACAAATTAATGTTCCATGACGTAACAATCTGCAAGCAACGAATATAAGAGCTAGGGATCTTTAAAAGAATATTGAGGTTAAAGGTTAAAAAGTGAGTATTTTAAAATTGAAGCGGAATAAATCATAAATGATATTAGTCATTTCTCAGAGTGGATTTGAGAGTTGAAAAATATATGAAAATGATAATACGACATATCTCATCGTTAATAATGAAGTGCAGATGTACAAGTGTAATTAATTACAACCGCACATGAGATGCTCCATTTGAAATTGACATTAAAACATTGTGGACTCGGTACAATTGTAATAGCATATTTACAATAGAAAGATGAAAATGTAATTAGATTTATACATAGAAATAATTGCGGGACGCAAGGGATTTCTTTTTTGGTTTACACATAAGAGTACACAAAAAAAATGTTGTTATTACAAATATATACATGTGACATATTATTAAAATTAACAAGAAATGGTGGTCTACGATAATGAAGTATCATTATTTATTAAATGAGGTTACTGATAAAAGAGAAAAAACATGTTACAGATTTATAGGAATTATAAATAAGTTTAACAACAATACTTAAATTTTAAAAAATGTTCATTCAATTTTCCATATATGTGGTAACATTAAATATATCAAAAATAAGATGAAAGTAACCATTTACTACTAGATAGAAACATTGTAATAACAATAAATACATCATTTGTAAATATAAAACAATAGTTTGTTCCAATTTCTTTATTCAAATTATTCTCTTCATTTGTTATAATCCAAATGTATATACTTATACTTCGGAAATACATAAAAACGAATAAAAATCAAAAATTTATAACAAACTAATATTTGTAACGATAAAGTATGAAACTTTTAATCGAGTTCTCGATGCGCAAGAGCAGATAAACGATAGCAAATATCCCAGATTCGTTGAAATCGGAATTTATCGAAAGCACATAATAAAGTAATATCTTTTGTCAAAGATTACAAACAGATTTTTTTAACAACAAACTCGCCAAAGGAAAGTTTATCTTATAAACATTAAAAATTATCTATCAAACATGAAACTTACTACGTGACGTAATAGAAGAAAAATATTTAAATAATATATTAATATTTTTTTGTCAAATATTTAATGATTATCATAGGATAAAAATGAAACTCAATTAAAAGTAAATCATACCAAATGTAAGAAAAAGATTAAACGAATGAATCTTTTCTGAACAATAGATTTTAGCTACAATAAATACTAAAAAAAAAAAAAGGGAGGAGGTAGTATACAAATTTTCTCTCTTTCTTTCCTAGATAAGAATCGAGCGACACAGTTATCGGGCGTGAAAACAGTCGAGAATGCACGAGAAGGAGGCGAATTCCCTTCGCAGTTACAATTACGTCCTCCACCTCGTTAAAACGAACGAATGTAATTCGAAACGCGCGCCGTATTTAATCGAGCCCAAGTTCGAACTAATTGACCAATCAAAATGAACAAAACGTGATCGTCATTGGAGGAATTTAATAATCAAATACAAGTGTAACAGAAATATAATTTAAAAAAGAAAATGATACATAAATCACGATCTAATATAAACCTTAGACGATGAGTAATCGATAATATAAGAGAATCACGTTGTTAAAGAAAATGTCGAAAGCGAATGCTTTCGGAACGTTCATGCTCTCTCTCTTTCTTTCTCTCGCTTTCTCGCCGTGGTTTTTCTGTGACAAAAAAAGGGTGGGGGTAGAAAAAGAGAGGAAGAAGAGGTAGAGTGGAAGGGAAAAGAGGAGACCGGCGCTCGTCGATTTCCGGCAGGGGTCGGCGGTTAGCATGCCACGCCACGATCATGGTTCCATGGGAGAGCTCGCGATGGAAAAGGCAGGCAGCAATACTGCCGGAGGGGGAAAAGTAATAGAGACAGAGAAAGAAAGAGAGAAGGAGAGAGAAAAGAGAGAGAGACGAAGAGAGAGGGGGATTTCCCTGTTGAGAGAGACTCGGACGGGGATCTTTTTTTAGAAAGCGCATTTGACGCTTGCAGTGTGGTACGAACGTCAATCCGTTCAAAGCTTACCTCGTGTACGCCGTTTCGGAGACGCTCCTAGATTCTGCTTGCAACGACGTATCCGTTCTTTGGCTAATGGAGGAGAGTCCAACGACTCTTTCTTACTCCTCCCTCCCTCCCGCCCCTTTTCTCTCTCTCTCACTCTCTCTCTATCTCTCTCTCCTCTCTTCTCTACAATTTTCTCTCTCTCTTTCACTCTCTGTAGGCGCGCGCGCACACTCGATTTTCCCTCTCTCTCTCTCTTCTCTCTTCTCTCTGATTCTAGCCGTACCTCACTCTCGCTTCCTCTTCTTCTTCTTCTACTTCTTCTTCTATATCCCTCTTTCTCTGTCTTCCCTTTTATCTTCTTCTTTCCTTCTATCTCTCGTTCTTCTTATCTCCCTCTTTCTCCCACTTTGAGCGCGCCTTATATACCCCACTCACGCACACACATATATATACACAATCTCGTATCCCGATTTACGAAGGATATCGGGCAGCGATTAGTTGTTTTCTGACTCGCCGTTCGATTTCTCGGCGCACGGTTGCAGGGTCATCGAGGGTCGCGGTGCAGTCGGTAACTGAGAGGAGGAGGAGGAGGAGCAGGAGCAAAAGGAGGATGTGAAGAGATGAGGGAGGAGGAGGAGGTGGTAGTGGTGGTGGAGGTGCAAGAGGAAGAAGAAAAGAAAGATAGTAGCGAATGATGGCAAAAACCGAAAAAAGAGGGACAAAAAAAAAGAGAAGAAGGTGTCAAACGTGGAACCCGCGTGAAACGCGAAACGAAATATAAAGATATATTGTTGTAAAGGATTCCCCCACCCTCGTCTTTCTAGACACGGTAGTTAGATTAGATTCTTCTATCTTCCTGTTCTTTCTTTCTTTTTTTTTTTTATCCTTTTTCTTCGTAATATATTTTCCTGTCACGTTACAGCAATGTCCCTAGGTATTTTTCCTAGTCTTCTTTTCACACTACTAYTACTACAACTTGCCCACCACTGTTGTCCTAGTCGTGTGCTCCACCTTGTCCTCGTCACCACCGAGAACGACAAACGGGGACGGACGACACACACGCGCACGCATGCACGGCACGCACGCACGCACGCACGACGGACGAACGCGACGAACTACACCCACACGCAAGAAGCACAAAAACACACGCGCACTATGAGCTGGAAGTCTCTTTCTGTCTCTCTCGATCACTCGCTAACTGGAAACCGGACTGAAGTTTAGTTTGTCTTCCTTTAATTGAGTTTTTTCTTTACGTTATATTTCAAAGCGAATAGTTCGTTGCGGTTTTGACACTTTTTTCCTTTTTCTCTTCTTCTCTCCACAAAAATACTGGCGAGAGCAGAAGCTGAGTAGAGAGGAGGCAGCAAGGCGACAGCAGCGCGCACAATTCTACCGTTATCTAGGGCGATGTCTCTCTGCTCTTTACCACTGCGGGGCCCTCTGTCTATACAAAACGATCGTCCTGCCCTCCTCCAATTTTCCCAGCGATGCAATCGATGAACTTCTTCCTCTTTTCTTCTTCTTTTTCTTTCTCCTCCTCTTTACCGATTGCACCCCGTTTCTTGGTACATTTGTTCTAGGGATTTTTTTCCCCTCTCATCTACTTTTTTTCTTTTCTCTATTCTCTTATCCTTTTTTCTTTTTTACAATACTTTAACAAATACATACGTTTCTAAATTAAATTAATAACTTTAATATTATTTATATATGATTGAGTATACAAAATATTATTTTATAGAAATACGTTATATTGAACTATTGTAACGATACTACTTCGACAGAAATATCGATGAATTGTGTGGCCAACACAAAAGATTACTCACTAGATATATTTTATTTAATTCGTAGATTTCGTTCATAGATGGCCGTAACATTTCTACCTTACCAACATATCTTGAGGTAACATTTATTCTATGCATAACCTTAATGTTTTAAAATGTATCTGTCACGTGTTGTTTGTTAGAAAAGTTTATTTAAAGAATGCCACATATCCCTGACTATGACGAAATATATTTATTAGATATTTTCAAGAATTTTTAGAAAGAAATTTTTGAGATATTAATAAATATACTTCTCGAACGTTGCGTACGATCGAGTATATTGAAATCGAGGAAGATTATGTCGATAAATAAATACTATTAAAAATTTTTTAATATTTTCATTATTCAGCCACTTATTTTTCAAATTATTTTCAAATTAAAAAATAAGATTTATTCTTAAAATTTTTGCATTTTTCTATGCACAGAAGGAAATGCAAATTAATTGAACTTTTTTAAATTTTGTATGTAAATGCAAACTCATCAATGACTGACATATTTTAAAACATTATTATCAAAAATGATATTTTAAAAAACTCTAGCATTGCATAATTTAAAATTAGTTATTTCATGTTTGAAACTTTTAAAAAGATTATTGTTATAATTTTTCTTACTTTTTACAAATATACAAATTTTCGCTCATGATGAATAATGTATATACACATTATGCATTTGTACAACTTAACCATTATATATTATAAAAAAATTATCATATTGTATAAAATTATTCCAGTAATCAAAGGTTAGCTATTAAAGAAGAAAGAAAAAATAATTCAAGATATTAAGTCTCAAATATTTGTATCTCACAACACAATTTGAAATATTTTCAAATAACTAGGTTAGTTATTAATGTTACGAATATTCAACATTATATTTTTCAATACGATTTTCATTATATAAACAAATCTAAAAATCTAAATCTTAAATATAAGGTTATAACATATATATTTTTTTGTAACAAGTAGTTTTTTGAGAGACCACAATGCAAGGTATACATATATATACATATATATGTGCGTGTATATGTTAAATATTTTTATTTATACAGGTTAATAAAGAAAATGGACACCAGGAAAGACCAAAACATGTCGAAAAATTCTCAAAAAAGAAAATTAAAATATGCCAATCAAGCGGAGATACTTCGGTCTCATCAAAGGGATTTAGATTTTGTATTACAACTGCAAGAAAAGCTTTCCGACATATTACATGATTTTAAGAATTACAGGACTCTATCTCGGCATTTAATTTCTGATACATTAGCTAAATTGATATATTTTATTTTTACAACTGGAATGGGTAATCAAACTTTGGGAGAAGAGTATACTGGAATTGTTCAGGCTGATATTAAAGCATACAGAATTCCATCTTTAAGTGTATGTAGTATTCATATGATATATTAATGTATATTTGATTATATTAAGCATAATAATTAATGAAATTTCCTATTTAGGCAAGGATTATGGCTATGATGCTAGAATATTTTGGGGAAAGAACGTTGTTGAGAGGATTGGATCTATTACAAAGATACGTTAATGATTCTGGTAATCAATTAACAGAACAGTCGATTAAATTGCTCAATTTGATTTTATCAAGATTACAGTCAATAATACCTCTACTCATATTAATTCATAAAAGTATCTTTTATATCTCTGGTAGATATTACAGTTTAGGTAAAAGATTAACTAAAATAGATTATGCAAAGGTAAATTTTTTGCATATTATATTATACTATTATTATAATATTAAATATTAATGAATAATATTTATTGTATTTTGGTAACTTATTAATATTTCTAAAGGTTTACGGTAATCCATCTGTTGATAAAATTAGCTGGGGTTTAAGGTTACTCGGAATCATAACTTTAATGCAATCTGTATTAAAAATATGGCAAAATGAATCGCAGCGGAGGAATAACGAAGAACATATAAAACTGACTGAAACAGATGTACATGGAAAATGTCAGTTGTGTACTGAAGCAATATCAACAACTGCAACTCCCTGTGGTCACATATTTTGTTGGCCTTGCATTAGTAATTGGTTGCGCAATAAACCACAATGTCCCTTTTGTAGAGAAAATGTTCCACCCCAAAGAATCGTATATTTAATGAATCTATAATACAATATATAAATTATATAAACTTATATAATATATTCTTATTTATATATATACGTATGTATATATACATATATATATAAAAGACGAATGTTGGTAAATTTTGCTTATAAATAAATAGCATTAAAAACGTTTCTTTTATGATAAAGCTGTATTGTGCAAGTATATTAGTAACACTCGTTAAAAATGAAACTGAGAATTAGGCTAGATAATAAATATTTCAATTGTTTCTACAAATCTATAAAACAAAGAAGATTCGTATATTCATACATAGATATATACATATATATATATATATAAAATATTCATACATACATATATACATATATGTATGTATGTATATACGGAGTATATACATATATACTGTAAATATATAAAAAAATATTAATTTTTATTTATATTGTGTATACACACCATTTTTCATTTAACAATACATTGTCTACTACGTAACAATAATATACAAATATTCTATTATTTTGTCTTTCCTTTTCTTTTCAATGATTTGAAAAATTATTTTAGTTAAAAGAAAGATATCAATGATGAAAAAACTAATGATATAATTCGCGATAAATGATTAACGTGTTCGCCACAGCTATCATTTATTTGTTACATATCAATTCCAATTAAAACCCTGAATTCACATGTCGTTTATCAATATATATATTTGTCATGAATCAATCAATTAAAAAATATAAGTTATAGATTTGGAATCTTTTCTTCATGACATAATAGCGAACGCGTTAATACCATATTAGTTATAAAAATGTATATTTAACATCTATGGATGACTACTTTAGGCAGTTAAATCACTTATCATTTTACCTAAACCTCTCGGTTCAGAATTTTCTCTCATACGAAATCCACAAGGTTTATAAGCATCGTAAAATGTTGATCTTAAACACTGCAGTTTATATTTGCGACTTCTAAAAAAATACAATTCACATATTGCGTATAAATTAAATCATAAATAAAAATATGCACACGTATATTTATATTTGTTATATATTCACATATATTGAATCCCTTGCATCATGATTTAATGCACAGAGCTGAACACCATATTTGGTGCTATATTTTGTACTTTTTATGTATGGCCTGTTAGCTCTGTTACAAGTCTCATGCGTTTTTACAGTGTGCAAGGGGTTAAATAAGTAAATAAATATTTATTTAAACTTTAAAACTTACTGTACTTGTGATACGAATTCGTCATCTTCCAATATTGCTTTACTAGATCCATGTCCTTGATTTACAAAATTTTCAAATAAACCTTTGCTAATCGAGCCAGAAGAATTAGATCCATCTGTAGTAGATGCGTTAGCTGTTGTTGAACCACGTAAACTACCAGTTCCAGATATCATTTGCCATGAACCACCAGAGGAAGTTGATTCATTTCGTTGTCGACGACAACCCATAGGTACAGCGACTGGAGACGTTCTTTTAGGGGGAAAAGAGGATCGATATCCTTGTGCTTCCTTACTAGGAGAATTTTGAATTGTTAATTGTGCAAAATTTCTGTAAAAGACAATAGATTTATTTCAATGTTAAATAATAATATCAAAAGATAAGCTAAATCAAAATTATTGTATGCAGAAAATGATACAAATATCAATGTATACCCAGTAAAATTATCATCTTGATTAGAGCTTTCACTATAAAACAAAGTTGGTGGGTTATCTTGACTATCTTTGCTAGATCCACTACTCAGACTTAAGTTGGAACTAACAGATTCAGTATCATATATGAAATTTTCCAATTGTGGTTCGCTATCCGTAGAAATATTTTTTGTATTATCATATTGATTAATACTGAAATCTTCGTCGGTAATATATTTCAGAAAATAAAAACAGAAGAAAAATATTTCTTCTCCTTTGTTTATTCTGTCCTGTAAATTATGTCCAAAAAGTAGCCAATCGTATGCTATTGTATAATAAAGAATTTGATTAACATCCAATGATGTGTGTATAGCACCGTCAGCCCATAAACTAATTCTCAATAATGAGATAAATAAAGGTGTTCTATCCCATCCTATAATGAAAATATAATTCTAATAAATAATAGATCAAAGATATCATTATTAAAAATAGTAAGTATCTAAGACTTTTATTTATTACCTGAAATACAGTGAACCAGCAATCCACTATTACTTTCATTTAAATATCTCAAAATAAGTTTTAAATAATTTTTAGTTAATTTAATAAGATCCCAAAATTGATAGTGATCCCATTTTAACTGTAACTGAGAAGAGATTGTATCTTCGGGTATACAGATTTGTGCGTCCACATAAGATTGAGCCCAATCGAATATTAAACCCTTGGCGCAATAATTATTCTCTCGAAATTGTTTGAAGAACTCACAACCAGGATATGGCAAGGAAATAATGGCGAATCCAGAATACCTCTTCTCTTTATCTATCTTCTCTGAAGAAGACACGCTGAGTATCGAACAAAAGAGCTCTGTTTAAGGGCCTCTAAAAGTGGATTTACAAGTAAAATGGACTGTACATGCTATGCTAACTATTATGAAACTTTACACCGTCTGTGGAAAAATAAGTTAGTAGTACTCATCGGTACAATTACAATAACAATTTCAACTAATTCCTATTTTATCAAATATAATCAGAATTGTGAATATTAAATAAATTTTATATCACTATTACGTATTGATACAAAATTATGTATGAAGAAATTATGCATTGTGTATTCCCAATTTAATTTATTTGTAAAAAACGATGTAAATGTTAAATAAAAAATTAAAAAATTGTAAAGTTTCGAAAATGAGCTTTTATAAAAATAGAATATCATAAATAATTGCATGCAGAGTTAAAAAAATGATATTTTAAATGAAATAGAAATCTTACTTCAGTCCATATTTAACTTTCTTATTTTCCACCATAAAATCGATGATGGTTCCTACATTAAGAGTCTTCAAAAGTTTAATGTCTTGATTTCTAACTCTGTCAAATAATTGCCAATCGTTATTCTTTGGCTGTATCCCACTTGCCTCATCTAATTGTTCATCAACAGGAGAAGATACACTTCCATTACTTGGAAAGAAATAATTTATTCCCAATCTACCACAAATTTCTGGTCCACTAGCTAATGTTGCTGATCTGCATATATGTCTACCATTGTAAAGTATTACAGGCAGTGGAAATCTTGTACGACATCTAGCATATCTAGCATTTTTTATTATTTCCCTTAATTTATTAGGATCATACATGCTTTCACACATAGTCTCTGTATTTTTTGATGGCAGTGATGTCGATGGCAGTGATGTCGATGATGTATCATTTGTATCTGGATTTTTTGACTTTTTATTTTGTAATAGAATAAGCTGACTCGGATAATGTCCACATAGTTCACCTAAATGATTATTTATTACCGAAAGAGTATAATCTAAACTGCTAAGAAGCAGACATCGTTGCATAATAATTTGATTCTGAAAAAGAAATTGCTCGAGTTTTTAAATAAATAACAAACAATTATGACTAATTAAGAAATAGCAATATATAACAGGTCTTCTCAAAATGTGTGTCACAGAAATTGTAGCAAAACTAAAAAACTCCTGGATACGTGTTAATTAAAAATTAATTCAAAACTAGTTTAGCAACACTAAACGTATAATATGTTTGTGTATTTATGATAGTAAAAAAGAAAATAGTATAAAATCTATACCCTGGGTTTTACAAAAATATTAGCATAGATAAAGGAAGTCGCCAAGTGGAAAAGTTTGAGAAGCCCCGATACATATATAATAATATAAAATAATAAATAATTACTGTTTCCGATTCATCTTTAGTCTGATAAATATTCTTAGAGAAGTACACAACTAATTCTTGTAGATCTTTAGTGGTGATTTCAGTCATGGTTAACTGACTTTTAATGTATGTATCTAAAACTTAACAAGTAAGCATATTTTGGAAGAATTTAAATTCACAACAGGTTGTCTTCATTTAATGCACTTTATGCATTATTATAATAGTTATTATTTTTAAAAGTACTTCCAATGTTTTTGTATAAAGAAACAATTGCACTACTGTTGTTGCATTTCATATATACCATGTGAATAATACAGATTTGTCACAATTTTTTAACTCTTCCGATCACAAAATATATGTGCTCTTTGATACTTATACGTTAAATTTATGATTTCTCGATAACATATTTCTAATTGCTAAATAAACAATTACGTACTTAATAGTACTTAAGATATATACATATATATATATATATAGAATGCGCAAAAATTTATGTCATACAAATAGTTAAATATTAGTAATCATTCTATAATGTATAAATTAATTATATAGAGATAACACTATAATCCCATTCGCAATAATATTATGTTACATATTAATTCCAGTCTTCGCATCTTTTAACGCATTTATAATATCCAATAAGGCCTGACGTTTATTCCTCTATATGAACATGTAAATCTTTATCTGCATTAATTATCACTCCGTTATATATTTATATTATTGTTAAAAATTCCTAATAATCAAAATAATCATTGTTACTCATTAAATTAAAATTAATAAATTCGAAGCTTTTAAATATAATAATAATATTATATAAATATATTCTTAACGTGTATATAAGGTATTTATTACTAATGTTATTATTATAATCATATATATAGATCAATTTAGATTGTTTTATTAATTACTATACTTGTTAGTCATATTAATAAATAAAAGACGAATTTGATCCTAAATTAAATCAAATAAATGATTTTTTTTTTGTATACTTTCCAATTACTTGTTTATATAAAATAATTATAATAAAGGAGTATATATATATATATAAATAATGTAACAATTATTTTACATAAGATAATTGTGTATAAAATCTCTAGATCGTAATAAATGTGATCTTCATGTACTTTTCATGTGCTCTTCATGTGCTCGCGTTATTATTATAAATAATATTTTTATTATTAATGTATTTATTATGTTTGTCATTAAATCCAAATTTAAATCTTCATGAAATTCAAATGAACGTTATTATTTATTATTATTATAAAAATCTATGATAGACTATATTATCCATATAATAAAACAGTGCAACATAACCTTTTTTTAACATGGCAAATCCAATGCTTGTCGCATCCACACTTGCATGCATTTCGAACTTTACGTAATAAAATAGTCATTTCCGAATGAATTAAATAAAAAATGAAAAATAATAGACTAGTTTTAACAAACAAACAATTTTCATTAAAGTGCAATTTTTTCTTTTTTTCATAATCACTTAGAGAGCACGTTTTTTTAAAATGTGAGACATACTATACATACATACATAGATGTACACCTATCTCATATTTTCAGAACTTTAATTACCGACAGATCATTTTCATTCGCCACATCCATTTTAACACAATCAACAAACTTTGTTTGAGTTTTTAAAAAAGGACGAAAGTGAAAGAAAGCGTGTGAAAAAAATAAATGCACACAGAGTATTTTATTTTTACTTAAATAGGATCGAAATATTTTATTACAAACATAACGCGTTTATACATATATATACATACATACGTTGCGTATGTATGTAAAAATTAATTGAAAAAAATATGTTACTATTAATACTAAACTATAAAAACTTAAACTAAATTAAAATAAAATAATAAAATTAATTATTTAAAAATACTTCTTCTCAATAAATAAACGTACTAATTTTTCTGTTACTTTTGATATTTTATATATTTGGACAAAAAGAATATATATATATATATAATTTTAGAGTTATTTTCATGTGTTTCATAGAAATATCGAGAATTTGAAAATTTGAATTTGAAATTGAATTTTCAATTACACCTTTCTCACGTATTCTGTAATAATTTGCTTTTTATTTTTTATTTTTTATTTCAAAGAAAATCAAAATGTCTCCAATAAAAACTTACTTTGAAAAATGTAATAGAAATTTGTTAGAGGAGTCAAGATCTATAATGTACTTGTCACTGAACGAACGTTTATTTTATTCTAAATTATATTCAAACGTAAACTGTAGGGTGAGGGAATATTTTTGAAGGTCATTGATGTGTGAAGATGAATAAATAAATAAATATGTCAACTGAACAATTTCAAATTAATTAATATTCAAAATAAACCAGTTCAACCAATTCGATATTAGCTCAACGAATTTCATAATTTTAATCTACGATATTCTGTGAAGAGTGTGTTTGATTTATTAATACGTTTGCAAATATTCAGTCAGTATGATGATATCTTTTTAATTTTCAAAATTGCGAGTTCAATTAAGTTCATACGTACTCAACGAATGTTTAAACCCGTTTTTCTCAAAAGCAAACCATTATATAAAGAAATTTGATTTTAAATTTTTCATTTAATTATTTACATAGAATTACACTCTGTTTACTTGTACCACCGGTTATAAAACATTTTACATATATATATATATTAAAATACATAAAATTCTATTAGAGTATAATAAAGTCAAAAAATTATTGGTTATATTATTAATTATATTTTATGAAACAAACAAAAGTGAAGCTTATACTTAATGTGCATTAGATTTCTTAAAATGATCCATAATAAATGTAGAAATGTAGTTTATCCGCATTCATCTATTGAAAGATTTAAAGTAAAAGATCACCAAATATCATGGGAAGTAAAATATCCTGAATATAAACCAATTAATTATACTTCAGAATTTATATTAAATGAACCTTGGGCAGATCCAAAAATTGAAGATCCTTGTTTCGAACCAAACTGGAATTCATTAGATGGTACGACAATTATTCCTGACTTACAAAATAATATTTATATATTTGTTTACTTTTTTCTATAAAATTGAATTTTTATCACTAGTAAGAAATATATATATATATATAACAATTATATTATAATAATTTGGTATTATATTATAGATAATTATTAAATTTGGTATAAATAATTATATAATTTGGTATATATATTATATTTTATATTGGTTATAATAAATATTATATTATAATATTTTACTGTGTGTCTTTTTATATAGGAGCAGTTAATCGACGAAGTTACATGGGAGACTATGTTATAAACGAACATGGTTACCCTTTGAATCCTGTTGGTAGAACAGGTATAGCTGGAAGAGGTGATTTAGGTCGTTGGGGACCAAATCATGCTGCGGATCCAATTGTTACACGATGGAAAAGAAATAATGAAAATATGTTGGTAAAAGATGAGACTACTAATAAACCTATTTTACAATTTGTGGCTATTCAAAGAAAAGATTGTAATGAGTGGGCATTACCTGGAGGCATGGTAGATATAGGCGAAAAGGTTTCTGCTACATTAAAGCGAGAGTTTATGGAAGAAGCTATGAATTTATTAGGAAGATCTTTTTCCACACGCAGAGAAGTGGAAGAAAGTATCAATTTAAATTTTACCAATGGTATTGATATTTTCAAGGGTTATGTCGATGATCCTAGAAATACAGATAATGCTTGGATAGAAACCGTGGCACAAAATTTTCACGATGCAGATAACAATACTTTCGGACAATTACCTTTAGCGGCTGGAGATGATGCTTGTAATGTTAAATGGATGAATGCAGATTCTAAGATATGTTTGTATGCCAGTCATTCGTTATTTATAGAAAAAACTGTTCAAATACATGATGCGCATTGGTAATACAATGATTACTTCAAATTTAATGTAATAATAAAAAATATTTTGTATTATTAATAAAGGTGCTATTTTTTGTAATATCATTTTTCTTTTATTGAGAATTTTTTTATCTTAAATGAGTAAAAAATTACCGCGTAAAATAATAACAAAATGATCATTAAAATCGGAAACATATTTAATATGTAAATAATATAATTACATATAAAAAAAATATCCTTTAATTTTATTCAAAATCCAATATAATAATTCTCTTTGAATATACAGTACTTTTAAAATTAATTTACAGTACTTTTTTTTTCTTTTTCTCTCTCATTGAAATTTTATGTTATCCACCATAAAACACAGCAATGTCAATATATTTTTAAATATTTACATGCAAATCACACACTTACTTAATAAGAGATTAAATTATATCTTAAAAAATTTATACACAAGTTAAAAAAACATTTTATGTAACCTTCTACGGAATACATAAAATTCTAACAACACTTCGGTGAGCTACGATTACCATCGATGATAAAACAATGAAATATTTATGAAATATGAAAGAAAACATCTTAAGATAATGTATGAAAAATATCTCTAACTTATTTTTCTCTTTAATATAAATTTCGTAATACTATACGATTATATCGCATTATACTTAAATACTTTATTTCTTATAATTCTGTAAATATTTAACACTGTACTCTACAATCGTCCAAATGATTTGTAACTGGCATTAGATTCGGATCTGTTAATCCTAAATAACTTAACAATAGTTCTGTATCATTTTGAATTTTCTGTACGTTTTGATACTCACACGTTTTTAAATTATACTCATTATGCAATTGTTCGTTATATTTTAGTTTTGTATATAATTCGTCAGTAGATTTTTCATGATCAAAATAATCGACTTTTAACGAATAATTATCGTTACTTGAAGCGATTGAAATGTTATCGCTACTATTTAATGATTGCTCTGCAATGTTTTCTAATTCGAGTGCTTTTTGTGCTTGAATCTGACCTAATTTAGCAGCTTTGGTAAAATATAAACGTGCTCGGTCCAGATCTAAAACAAGACCACCTTTTCCTTGGGCATGAAAAACTCCCAAATTGTACATTGCATCCGCGTGACCGTGTTTCGCTGCACGATCGTAATAGCTTGCAGCCTAAAAACAATGGATTTATGAATTCCTTTCCTAATATAATTATTTATATAATTTATTTTTTTTATTTTAAGTTTGTTATGTACCTTCGCATCATCTACTAACGTTCCGAGTCCTAATTCATGGCATAGGCCAAGATTAAACATACTTGCAGGGGATGACAATTTAGCCCCGGCAGAAAAATGATTCACTGCATCGTTGTAACGCTTTTCATCTAGTGCTTTTATACCGTAATTCAATTCGAATTCTCCCATAAGTAAATTATTAACTTTATTGAGTTCATCCGCGGCTTCATTGAAGGCCTAAAAATATAATAATATATATAGATTTCTAAAAAATATTAAAAAATAAATATTTTTTACCATTTCAAACTACGTATTTTAAAATGTGTTATTCGTTATTTCTATATTATATATTATTTTTTGTCTATACTCTTAAGATAAAATTAAATATAAAGAAAATATTAGAGGATAGGAATAGGAAAATTAATTTTAGAAAGAAAAAAATTAATAAAAGTATTACATAATGATGATATATATAAATAATTTTTTAATACAAAAATACTAAATAAAAAGTATTAAAAGTGAACAAAAAAATAATTAAAATAAAAACTTTATTACATATGTATATATATATATATATATATATATAAGTAAACATATTATTTATTTACAACACAAAAGATATTATAGAAATATAAGCGTATAAGTAAGTATTGTCTACAAATGTAAAATACATTTCTGATTTTTAATTAAAATTGAAATATAGTTGGTAGTAATTAAACATAATTGAATGAAGTTAAGTATTTATTATATTTTTATTTCTTTATGTACTTCAGTTGGTAATAATAAGCTTTAGAGTGAATAATTTCTTAGCAGCAGCATTCTTACCTCTTCGGCTGTAATAGGTCCAATAGGTTTAGCATATTTGTTATTATTTTTTTTTTCCTTAGTGTTTTCTTTACTAATATAATTATTAGGATTATCTATGCAATTAGTAACAGGTAGTATATTTCGTGGATGTAAATTTAATATTCCATTGAGAAGATAGGATAAATGATGCTGAGATGATCCTGAGATTTCAAAGTTGAATAATTCATATTTATCTTTATTAAAGAATCTTCTACGAAAACACAAAGATTGGCCTACTACCCAACCAACTGCTAATGCGCTAGACTGCAAAAAGAAAAGAAAAGCAAATATTTTATTATTAATCAAACGTATACACACACACACATACACACATGCCATACGCGACATATACATCTATTCTAAATGCATACTTTTTAATTATTATATAAGTAAACATACATTTGACTGATTTATTCAATTGTTTATAATGAATCTAACCAATTCTTTTTACAAAGTAAATGTTACATTTAATTCAATATTAATAATTTATAAATTGCGCATCATGTTATCATAAAGTCAGAGATAAAGATAAAAAAACATAAGGTGAGATAGATTAAATCAGATTGAAGTACTGTAACATTAATTTTTAAAGTGATTCAATTGTTGAAGTTATATTTACTCTATAATTTTATTAATCATTATTATTATTAATACGTGATTGACATTTAATATATCAGTCATAAGAATTAGAATGAAATTACAAAACATTTAATATAGTTACCCAGCTAACTGCATCAATCCAACCATGTTTAGTATTCCATTTAGTACCTTCATTGTTATCTTTAGTACCTTTGGATTTTGCGGATCCACAAAATTCATTACTAAACGCGGAATAATTGTCTCTGACAAATTTTTGATTACATGCTAATGATGTTTTTTTAATTTCCTTCGGAGTATTATTTTCTTGTGAACTTTGGGAATAAATATTGGTACGGCATACTCGTTTCTCCAACGTTTCACGAATACCCCGTGTTACGAATTTCCACATGTTATTATTTATAAATTAAAATATTATGTTAGATCACACGTGCAAATCTACAAAAGCACCTAATACCAGTTACTTGTCTGACTTGGTTACGCTATAGCGAATGAACGTGAAGTAACTGTTTGAAACGTAAATGCACTTTTGCTATTTATGAAAAAAAAATTACTACGAAGTAAAAGTTACCGATAGTCGATAAAATAACTGAAATGTAAAATTAAAATTTTAGATACTATAGGACTCTACATATCAGCTTATAATTCTGTCATTTTTTTTTCTTAATTTTTAATATTGTAAATTGTTCATAAAAGTACTGTGTATATATGTAGAATAAATATTATTTTATTATATTTAATGTCTGTGTTAAAAAAAAGTTTAAACTTATAGCTATTTTTCCGAGCGCCAGGATAGAGTAATTCTTTAATGAAAATAAATATATAAGGGTGGGTAAATAAAGAATTGTATCCTTTTTTTCGTATAAAAATAAAAATCAAATTTATTATCGAACAAATTAAAATGAATATCAAATTAATATCTTTAAATGTCTCTTAGGTCGCCGGCTATCAATGTGTTAAATAAAATCATTTGTACATACCTGAAATTATAAACAGATTTATATAATAATTATTGCTTATTAAATAATTTATTTAAAATTTGACTAACAAGCAAACTAATAAATTGAGAAAATTTTTAAACAATAATATATATTTTATATTGGTTATTAATAAATGAATTAATAATAATAAATGACATTTTTTACTTAATGTGAAGTATATAACATATTTATAGTTTTAAATTTATGAAGAAATAGTTCAAAAAAATTGTTTTTCTACTTTAAAATAATGTGTAATCAATAAAAATTATAGAACTTTATTAATAAATCAACTTTGCAATACTTGTTGCCGTCTTATTAATTTACGAAAATTTAAGAAAAATATAAAATGAATACCAACTCCAATAGTAAATAATTAAATAATCTGTGAAAATATTTATAGTTTTAACTTTTATGAACATAAAATTTGTTTATAATATGACAGTAAATACATTCGTATTAAACACTTCAGACATGACTTCAGACATACGTCTCCCGTACTAAAGTCGTTACCATCGTAATGAAACTCTCACGCCTATTGCGCATGCGCCAAGAGCGAAATTTAAATTCTATGAAAATAATTTAAGTTATATATCAAGTATACAATACGATATCAAATATTATTTTTTTGAATAATATATATATTAAATATTAATATTATTAAATTGAAAATTATCTAATTAATAAAACGGAAACATCCGAATAGATGTTTTTTTTGTGTCTGACTTTACTTACGCGATGAGAGAAACTCTCACAGTCCATAAATACATAATTTTTTTTCTTTATTTTTCAAGTTTAAACAAAAAATTTTTTTCACTATCTTGTAAAACATTAAATTTTAGGAAGATAAAAAAATTTCCAAGGGGTCATTCCATTTAAAATTAAAAAGAAAAAAAAGTTTTAAAAACAGTGTGAGAGAGAATCTCTTTATACGATAGTGCTGAAGTGTTGACACGTTCACGCCGGGGCCGATTTTCATGTTTTTTGCTGTGAGATGGCGCTTGAATTTATGCCGCGTGTGGGGAACAAGGTTAACGGAAAAGGTTGATCTGGAGATTTACGCGATAGTCGTCAATT